TGTGTATGTGTGTGTGTGGCCAGCTCAGCCCACCAGGGGGCGCGGCTGGCTGGCATGTGGTGCTGGAGGATTGAACCGTGGTCCCTGTGCTTTGCCAAGCTTGTTCCAAGTAGGTGCTTTAGACCACTGAGCCATCTCTCCAGCCCCTTAAATGCAATTTTGACTTACATTATTTTCAGCTTACAATGGGTTTAGCAGGCACATAGCCCTATTGTAAACTGAGCAGCGTATACACTAGACTTGTGTGTAGTTGGGTTTAGAGGGGAGGCACAAGCCTGGTGTTGGAGGTTTTAGAAGCTTACTGAGGCAGGTGATGATGAGGCCAGAGCCAGACAAGGAGGAGACTCAGCCTCTCAGGGGAGGGGTGGGGAAAACAAAGTTTGTGTTTTACTTGCTCACTTACTCATTTGTTTCATTGAATGTTGAATGTGCTGCCCACTGTCCTTGGGACAGGAGCACCACACTGAGCAGGATGCCTTGATGGCTTGCTAGGCAGACTGTCAGTTACTAACAGGCCAGCCCTAATTGCATTCCCTGATCTAGAGAAACTGAAGGTATGGAGGGCAACAGGGAAGACTTCCTTGACAGACTGACATTTGAGCTGAGGCCCAAAGGACACATAGCTGAGCTCAGAGGCAGTGAGGAAGGCCCTGGGACAGACAGAGCAGCTGGAAGAAGGCCAGCATGGTGGCATGTGGGATGGGGTGGGAGAAGAGTGTAGACATGTAGGCAAATGCGTCAACTTTGGCAGCAACACAATCAGACTTCCTGTGGAAAACATCACAGAAGCCCTCCAAGAACAGAGCCCATCTCTCTTCATTCCAACCAATTCATGGGCTGAAGACCCTCGGCCTCCACCCTGGGCTGCATGCAGCTGGGGGCCCAGACTCTATGCTCCTGAGCGTACAGCTGAGGCTGTGGGCAGCCAGAGGCAGGCTGGAACTTGCTGTGCCACCAGAACGGCAGCTGGCATTTGAATGAATAGCACCTGCACAGCCCTCCCTGTCTCTCCACCCCACCACCCCTCCCAGCTGTGGGAGTGCCCTGGGCACTGAATGCTCCTCTCTGGGAAACCATGAAGGCAAGAAAGTGCCCCTCCCAAGCCCCAGCTTGGAGTGGGTTCTGTCACACCTCCCTGTCCTCCTCGAGAGCATAAACACACACACACACACACACACACTCACACACACACACACAAATGCACGCACAAACACAAATGCTGCCTCTGCTTGGGCCCTGAGGGACACAAAGCAGGTTTAGGTCACAAGATGAGCAGCCTCCACATGCCCCAAGTTCCTCCCTGGGGTTCCAGAACACCATCCTCATCTCAATCCATCCTTACTCAAAAGGCAGCTGTGAAAGGTAGCAGCAGGCAGGGACTCCAGGGTATCAACTCCACAGGTTCACTGTGAGGGCAGAGGCAACCTTGGCCCTGGAGCCTATGAGACACAGCCTTCCTGGGAAATGGCTGCCCCACCTCCTATAAGGCCCACAGGGCAGGTACACTCCTACAGGGGCCCCACACTTCTCATGGAGGAACATCCTGTTTCTCCCTTCCAGATCCTAACCAACAACTTGCATGTGTGAAGTCCTAACTACTTGGTTACCCCGTTGTATTCACTATGCTACCCCCCTCATGTGCCCACATTGGGTTGATACTTGCTCCTTGAGTTAAACGATGTGGTCTCACTAAGAAAAGTGTGGATTAGGCTGGTGAAGCTCAGTGACAAGCACAGGGACTAAGGTTCAGTTCCCAGCACCACATGCCACACAGGCCCACCCCTGGGTGAACTGAGCCAGCCACCAAGACTGGGAGTACTGGCACATGCCTAAGCACGCCTGTAATACCAGAACTGGGGAGGCTGAGACAGGAGGATCAATATGAGCCGGAGCCACGTAGTGAGACTCTGTAGGAAATACATTAAAAAAAAAAAAAGAAAGAAAGAAAGAAAAGAAAAGAAAAGAAAAATGAAAAATGTGGACTGCATTGTAGTTAGCGTTCTTGGAAATGCAAAACGCAGGGTGGAGTTCCAGCTAACCAGGTCAGGGAACCCAGGCAGGCAGAAGGTGAAAGGGGGCAGATTTGCAAGGAATGAGAACAGGGAAGCCTGCCTGTAAGGAGTGCTGTGGTCAGGGTGGACAAAGGCAAAGCTCCCTTCACATCCAGGCTGGCCTCTTCTCACCCACAATGCTGCCTGATCTCAGCCAAGAAAGAAGCCTTTGTGAAGAAGAGAGGCCTGCACATGTCAGGGACAAGCCCAAGGCTACGCAACCAGTTCTTCACCCAGCTAGAATTAGTCCTTGCTGCAGGGGCAGGGAATAAGGAGTGGATTCCTTGAGTTATGGAAAAGGCTAGCCTTCCCTCCTTCTTTCAACTCTTTTTTCCCCCCATCTCTCTCTCAGTACTGGGAATTAAATCCAGGCCAGGGCCTTCTCACTAAGCTACAGTGAGAAGCTCTCTTTTTTTTTTATTTCTTATTTTGAGACATCTTGCTAAGTCACTGAACTTCCCCGGGTGGCCCTCCCACCTCAGTGTCCCAGAGTGCCCAGATTATAGGCAAATGCTGCCATACCTAGATCAATTTGTTTTATTATTATTATATATTGAGGACTAAATCTGTGCCAAGAGGGGCTGGATTCAAGGGAGAATAAAGTAGGTGTAGTCCTGTTCCCACAAAGATAGGGACACCGACATTAGATTAAACAGGCACAAGAGAGACAGCAGGATCCGAGGGGAGCTAAGTGCCCTGCAAACAGGTGCGGGGCCAAAGACAGCAGGCAGCAGGGCTCCCACTGAGGCTGGAGAGTCTGGAAAGCTTCCCCTAGAAAGGGTATTCCTGAGGAACACACAGAAAAGCAAGCCAACCAGGAGATGGGAAGAGACTTTCAGAGGAATGGGGTGGGGATCAGTATCTCAAAGAGGGGCACCCTCCTCACCATTCCTCTTTCTTTTCCCAGGACTCAGCTCTGCCCCTACACCCTCCTGGTTCAGGCCAGGCTGCCACCTCGGGGGCCTCCAAGGCAGGCTGCCCACTTTTGCCTCCTTGGTTCCTGCCCTCCCACTGCTTCCCTCCCCCTGGGCCCACCTCTCAGGGCCCTTCCTGCCTCCTCTCCCAGGAGAGCAACAGCTCCCAAGCTCCTCTAAGCCTGCCACCCTGCTCCCAGGGCCCCAACAAGCTCCAGGGCTCCCTTTGATGGCCAGGCTGGGACAAGGTATAGGCGAGAGGCTTCCGGTGTCATCGCTCAGGCCTGGGGGGATGGAGGTAAAGCCTGACCCCAGGGTGGGAGCAAAGGGGGGTCTGAATTCCAGGAAGGGCTTCTCCCTGGAGACGCACAGACTGGAACTTGGGAAGGACAGCCCCGCCTGCCCAAGCCTGGAGCACCTCAAAGCACTGTGGCCCTTGGATCCTCCTTAACTGGAACAGAAGATGAAGGGGTCTCCAAACCCCACTCGTCATGCTCACCTCTTCTCTGATTTTGCGGGACACAAGTTGAGACTACAGAAGCATATTGGACAAGGTGACTTAGACCACTATAGAAAAGCACAATGTGGGGGTGGGAGGAACTGAGGTGGGGCCCTCTTCTGCCACCAAATTGTTCATCAGACTAAAGAGAAGCCTCAGTGTCAATGTTTTTCAGAGAGGGAGAAGATTAACAAGACTTTCATCATCTGAACCACCCTTCCCATACCTACCCACATCAGGAGGAAATCAAGTGTCTTTGCTGGGAGGGGCCAGGAACCCCCCACCTCCACCCCCATGGCTCCTTCTTCTCTGGGCTCATCTCACCACCTAGGCTAATGTCTATCCCTCTGCTACTCTCCATGCCTTCTCTTCCACTCCTTGGAAACTCCAGTCATCTTCAGGATCTTCCTTCTACCTCCTCTGCCCCAGGCAGGTAGGAGGAAGGGACTCCTTCCTGCCTCTGTAATACTCCCCACTGGCCAGGAATAAAATGCTCTTGGCAAACTGTCCCCTTGGTGTGTGCTGGCCTCCCTCCAGTGGGTCCCAACATCCCACCAACTGCCCCAAGCACCTGTTCCTGATCCCAGGCAGAAATAAACACCACCCATGAGGCCTGCAAGAAGAGGGGCTGAGGGCTTCAGAGAGGCCTGGGAGACTGGAAATAGCCTGGCTCCTTGCCGCCATTGTCATCGGCTCTGAGAGACATAAGGGCTGATGGAGCAGTGGGCCTGCAAGCTCCTGAAGAGGGAAATCAGCCTCAAGAACTTCTGAATGAGCAGAAGTCTTTCAGAATGACCCTCAGCCCCCTACTAAGGACCCCTGAGCAGAATTCTGAAGGGTGGGGAGAATAAGGAGGCCAATGAAAGGGTTCCTCTTCCTTTGACCTGCACCAGAGTCCTAAGAATACCAAGCTGAACAGATCTGAAGCACCAAGGGGTTTGGGGGAGAGGGAATAGGTGGGAGAGGGGGGTCTGTTGCTCAATCCAGCAACAGATAGAGATTTTGCAGGAGCCAAGTCACTGAACTATACTGCCTTCCTTTCTCTAAGTGACAAACCACCCACTAGGATTTGTCTCCAGTCCTTTCTGGAGAGGACAGAAGGCTCCTCTGCCCATTCTTTGTCTCTTTCTTTGTAGTCTCCTCTCAATGGAGGCTCCCCTTGCCTTTACTATTTTATTTTGACTATGTAGTTCACACTGTCTTTAAGCTTGTTATTTAGTCCAGGCTGACCTTGAACTTGTGGCAATCCTCCTGCCTCAGCACTAGTGCTGGGATAATAGGCATGCACCACCACAACAACCACCGTCACTTTTTGCCACTCCACAGACCTTCGTGTGATGGATATAGAGGATTCATAGACAAGGAGAGAACCAGAGTGGGCAAGGGGGAGGCCTTGGCCCCTTGCAAGTTAGTGATGAGTAAGGGGCCCAGCCCCTGGGTTCTGAGCTAGGCTGAGACCAGGGGAAAGGGGAAAGCACATGCCAGATGCTTTCCTGGTAGTTCCCACCTGTCCCCAAAGCCACAGGCCCATCCCCCACTGTGCAGGAAGGGCCAAACCCCAGGGGCTTTCCTGTCACCCAGCTCACAGGATGGGGGAAAGAGCCAACACTGTGTGACTTGCATAAGGAAGTAATGGTGCTGTGCTGGGGCTTGGATCTTGCTTAGAGGAGCTAACCCCAGGGGCAGAGTTTTCTATGTAAAGGGGACCCTCACGTGCCTTCAGCCTGACCCCACATCCTCTTCAGTGTCTTGTGGTAGCCGTGACCCCTGCATTTTAGGCAATGCAAATGCTATGAGGTCACGATTCTAAGATTTCCCTTTAGGGTAGGTGAACGTAGGCCATGAAAAACAGCCCAAAAAACTTCCTTCCAAGTGATTGTGTCTTCTTCATTTTAGGTGACAGATTCAAGTAGAGCAGATTTTCCAAGCATCTTCAGTGATGTAATTCATCATTGCCCTGTGCTGTCCTGAATTTCAGTGGCTTCTGGGGCTCTCTCCCAGATGTCACAATCCAAAATGTGTTCCAGACACTGTAAAATGTCACCTGGAAGAATTAGGGGCTCACCCTCAGTTGAGAAGCATTTCAGTAGAGAATGGCTTTAGCAAACCCAGATGTTCTGCAAAGATGGACCCAACTTCTCCGGGGAGAGAGGTTTGGTGTTCACATTGCAAGAGTGCCCTCTGGTGGTCAGAGTTGGTCCTGGCGCCCAGCTCAGGAGCTGCTGGGTGGGTAGCACCCAGAGGCTCTGCATGGAGTGAAGGTGATGAGAACCCAGAAAAGGAAGGGAATTGCAAGGGGCAGTGTATGAGATTTCTCCATTTTAGACCTCCTTAGCAAATCTCAGACAACACACCAGAGGGTCGACTGGTCCAATGTGACAAGAGACTGTGGGCTGCAGGTTCTGACACAATCCAGGCCTGACAATGCACCCTATAGCCTGTGGCCATCAGCCTCACCTGGGGACAGCAGACTGGGTAGGAGAAGAGGGGGCAGGGACCAGACACAGCAAAGTCAGCTCCCCAACACCTTTGCTCTGGCCTCAGCTCAGTTGTGCCAAAGATGCAGACAGACCAGCCAACTAACTACCCAGGGGCTTGGAGAATCCTAGGCAATAGACCCTCTGGGCACATGGACCTTACACGGTCAGAAGCCAGAAAAGATGTCTGAGATCAAGTTCAAGACCTCTAATTTCATGATCCCACAGAGAATGGACTTGTTCCAAATCCTACATGTAGGAGAACCAAATTTAGAACATAAATTTCCTAATTATCAGTGAATGTTCTTTCCACCTCACCATAATTACTCAGCTAGAGAATTTAAGAGGTACTTAAAATTCCTTGGAAATAAGAGTATATTATATGTAGACGGGGAAAATTAAAAGGTCCCCCCCCCCACCTTCAATACTGGGAATTGAACCCGGAACCTTCACAACTGAACTACAGCCACAGCCCCTTTTTATTTTTTATTCTGAGACAGTATCTTTAAGTTCCCAAGTTGGGCTTGAACTTGGGGTCCTCCCACCTCAGCCTCCTAGAAAGTGGGGTTAAGGTGTGCACCACAGTGCCCTTCTTCTATGTGATTTTTTTTTCCTTCGGAACTGAGAATTGAACTCAGACCCTTGCACTTGCCAGGGAAGCGCTTATTCCACTGAGCCATCTCCCTGGCCCCTCTATGTGATTTTTAATGACCACAGCAGGAATCATTTTACCTTCTAGGTACACTTTGGCACCTGGTTATGTACTGTCTGGAGCTGACCCCTGTCTCCTGGGTATCAAAGTTGTAGGCTCACAAGCTGGTATTCTCTTGTGCAAGGGAAGGTGTCTGGCCACTAGAATACTTGATTAGCAAATGGAAGAAGCCCCAAGATTCAAACACTAAAGCAAAAAAATATTTGCCAGAATTGCTGGCAGCGAGGATAATCCCTACCTATTCTCCTTTGTGCCCTAACGAGAACCTAACCAGAAAGGAGAGAAATCCAAGCACTGTGCGGCAGGTATGGCACTCCCTATGCAACACCAGCACGGTGTGAGCACCATGGAGCATGGCGCGGGAAGCTAGAGACAGAGGCGGCCACTGCGCATGACCCTGACCCCGCATGTGAGATGTGCCAAGCTGCTGCCAGAGGTCTCACTGTTCATGTGCTTTTGTACATAGGAGAACTCACTGAAAGAATGACCAAGAGTACAGTACAATAAATAATGGGAACCAGGAACGCATTCATCTATTACCATGGCTCTGTGTGCTGTACACATAAGTCTGCACTTCACTGTTTATATGACCTGAAGAGCATAGGTCAGTTTACACCAGCATCTCCACAGACACAGAAACAGTGCCTGGCATCATACAGTGCAGAATTGTCACCAGCAAAGAGGATTTTTCCAGCTGCTTTACAATCTTATGAAACCACCACTGTGGCTCGTTGTCTTAACACTATTAAGTGGCATAGGCAGTGTACATGCATACGCACACATAAAAGCACATACATATAATCCAACAAACACTTATGAAATGCCTATTACTTTTTTTTTTTTTTTTTTTTTTTTTTTTTTGCGGAACCAGGGATTGAACTCAGGCCCTTGCGCTTGCCAGGGAAGTGCTTATTCAACTGAGCTATCTCCCCAGCCCCAATGCCTATTACATTTAAATGGCAACAGTGCTACCAGGTGCCAAGGGGCAGAATGAAATGACTGGATCAAAAATTATGACATTTCAGCCAGACGTGATGGTACAGGGTTGAGGCAGCCTGGGAAACTCGCTAAGACTCTGTGTCAAAATAGTCAAATAAAATGTAAAAGCTGTAGGGGAGTAGCTGAGTGATAAGAGTGTCTAGCATGCATGCAGCCCTGAGATCAATTCTCAGTACTGAAAAAACAGACATTTTGATGCCCTTTGATAAATATCATTTAACTGTCCTCCAAAAGGATTATTTTTTTAAAAATTATTCTAATACTGGGGTTGAACACAAGGCTTTTACACTGAGCTACATCTCCAGCCTTCTTTTGGTTTTTACTTTGAGATAAGTTAGGTTGCCCAAGTTGATCTTGAACTTTCAATCCTCCTGCCTCAGCCTCCCAGAATGCTGGGATTATGCCTGGCTTCTATTATTTTAAAAACTACATTGCCACACCAGGTGTGTCCTAAGTACTTCAATCTGCTCAACAAGTACAACAACCTTAGAAAGTAGCACTGTTATCACTCTACCACAGATAAAAGCACTGGGGCACAGACAGGTAAAACAACCTGCTCAAGGCCACACTCCTGGGACACAGGACCTGGGTTCAGACACAAGCATACTGTTGCCATCATCTCTGCTCAGATGCTGGTCTGTGGTGCCAACCTAAAAACATGAATCCTTCCAGGCAGCAGTCAGCTATGGACTTTCCCTGCCTTTGGCCACTTTTATTAATAAGAGTTAACTATTAAATTATTTCTCTCTCCCTCCCTCCCTCTC